AGAGTCCAACATTTCCAATATCCAGGAGTATTCAGAGGTCTCCTCTTTTTAGCCATCCTGTCTTGTATTGTTATTATTATTCAGATAATTCCAGACAAGGGATAGGAAAATGCCATAGTGAGAAAGAAATGAAAAAAAAAAAATTAAAAAAGGGAGTAATTATATTAAATTGCTAAAATCAGGATAAAACACTTTGCCTGACCTCCAGAAATTTTCAAAGAAATCACGGAATGGTTTGGGTTGGAAGTGAGTTAAAGATCACCTCATTCCTGCCATGGGGACACCTTCCACTATCCCAGGTTGTTCCAAACCTGCCCAACCCGACCTTGGACACTCCCAGGGATGGGGAGGTATCAAGCTATCTCCTTTGCCTTATCATAAGATGGAGATAAATTTCTATGCTACCCTTCCAGATAGGTTTTTTCCTCAGAAAAAGTCCTGCAGGAGGATCAGAGCATTCCCAGAGAGAAGCATTTATTGGGAATATCAGCAAATTAAGACCTTGCAAGCAGCAGCAAAGGGGAAATTTGCTGGTTAGGACCCCTCTGGCTCTGGCAGTTTTCCCCAGATCACTCCAAATTCCACCTGCTCTGGACAGAAGGGCACAGAGTGGATTTTCCCTGCTGCATCCATCAAAGGAGGATGCTCCCACTGCCACCCCGGCTACGGAGATAAATCCTGCCAGCAGTGAATCCATCTGCTCTGCCTCCCCAGACAGAGACAGCAGCAATGGATACCAGCATCTCCTCCAGCCCTGAGGGACATCTATTAGCTGCTTACGTAAGGAGGCAGCAGCGTGGAGCTTCCAAGGACTCCAAAGCCCTTCCCCTTAATGCCACCGGAGATTAGAGCAGATCGAAGGAGAGCAGGCCAGGGGCTGTGGGTGAGGTTGTGCTCACAGGAAAATGCTGCAGCCTCTCCTCTTAATGCACTCTAAATCCCATCTGATTTCCAACTCGGCTGCTAGGAAAAATAAAAGGAGAAAAAAAAAAAAAGGGAAAAAAAAAATAGCCCAGCCTGTATTGACATGATGTCAATGCTGGGAGAGTGAGGTGGAGTGACTCAGGGAGGGTGTGGAGAAGGGGAGTCTGAGGGGAAGCATCCAGAGGAATCCAGACTGTGAAAGCATTTTGGAAGCGGAGCAGAAGGAGCCAGGGGTGCGGATCTGCTTTTCCAAATCTGATTAGTTGCTGCTTTTGAGCATCCAGGCTCAGATCCTGCCTCTGATAAACACAGAGCACTTATCGCCCTCACGCCAGGCTGCCGGCACAACAAACACAACCCTGCTCTTCCCTCGGTGCCAGATGCACTCCCAGCTCCGGGGACAGGGATTTCCCTTCATTTCTGCTCCCTCTTCAGGCTGGCTGACTCCACAGCAAGGGAACCAAACCAGCTCCGAGTGAAATTCCTCTCCCCTCCTCTGCTGCAAACGGAGCATCGAACATTTCACACGGAACATTTCACACGGAGCTTCATCCTGGCTGGATGAGGATCCTGATGGAAGGCAGCAGCTCTCACCTGAGCAGCTTTCTGCTCTCATTCAGTGACAGTTCTGTCACCCAGCCACACGTGCCTGGCCCCTCTTTGACAATTCCTGTCCAAACAGCCCCACCCCTGAGGTGAGGTTACTTTACAGCTTCACCCTTTTCCAACTAATTCTGACACACCTCCTTCCACCCAACCCAAACAACCAGTGGGCTTCTTGGGTAATTCCATACCAACCAGTCTGAGCTTGGAAATTATCCCAGAGTCAGGCTGGAAAAAACACCTGGGATCACTGAATCCAACCTATGACCCAACACCAAGGCATTCAGTGCCACATCCACGTGCTCCTTCAACACCTCCAGGCTCAGGCAGAAGCACAGGACAACTGAGGCAGTGGATGAGCCCCAACAAATGAGGCACATTTTCATATTCCACTCATCTCTTGAACTGGATTTTATAGATTTTCTGTTTTATTTCTAGTTTAAAGAGCTGCAAAAGTCACCAGACTTGGCAGAAGGCACAGAACAGGTGAGAAATGCTGCAGAGAATCCCTGGAATCAAGAGATCGACTGTGGTGGGAAGATGGAAAATGAAGCAAGAGGAAAACCACCCGAGGCTGACTCAGGAACAGCCATCAGGTACAGAAAAAAAGCCTTGAGAAGGGCAGGAAATAAGTAATAGAATGTTGGTTTAAGAGTTCTGGAGATGAGTTTATTATGGCAGCAACTAAACTGGTGATTGATTAAGGCTGGTCCCTCCTGTGCTGGGCACAGACACAGATCACAGAGCAGTTTTCCCAAAAAAACCCTAAGGATGCAGAGCCAGCTGGCAAAGGAGAGAAAGATCAGAGCCACCAGCACCATGGGTGCAAAGAAGGAGTTAATGCTCCCATTCCACCCTGAGATTACAACTCACAACAACTGGGCAGTGACCCCCTGAGTGAGGAGGAGCATTTTACCACCCAAACCGTGCCAGTTCAGTAAAAAGAGAGGAAAAGGGCATTTTTAAGAGCCCAAATAAAAAAAAGCCAAACCAAACCCTTTGCAGAGGCCTTACCATTGGCATCCTGGACTCCTGTGAGCGCTCCCACTGCTGCTGCAGTTTCCCCAGACAGGACAATCTGTCCCCCTCCCTGAAGGGTGGCCTCGGCCAGCGTGGCGACGGCGTGGGCAGCGGCTTCACTGCAGGGGGACACAAGGGTTAGAACAGCAAAGGAACCAATGAAATAAAATAAAACTCCATTGGACCAGCAAAAACACGCCAGGAGAGCAGCCCAGAGCACAGGGATTCCCATCTGGCCTGGGGGAAGTGATGCACAGCAGGAAAGCAGCACTGCAGGAGAAAGGGATGGGAAGGAGCTGCCTCTGGTGGGTTTTTTCAGGTCTCTCAGAACAGCTCTGTGTTCTCCCTTTCTCCTGGGACTTGGATAAAACTTTGGGACAATTCCACCTGGCTCCTTCCTGCCTCTGCATTCAGGTGCCAGACTTTGGCACTGGCACATCCTGGGGCTCTGCAGATCTCAGAGCTCTCCCTGGTTCTGCCCCTTCACCTCACCAGCTCCTCCCCAGCCAAGTGGCTCAATAATTCTTTTTAATGAACATTATTTTCCAGCAGAGAGCTGTTAAATTTCTTCACATGATGAAGACAATCTTAAATTTCTTCATTTGATGAAGCCAGGCCCAAAAGCCCTGCAAAGGTGCTCAAGGAGTTTCAGAACAGGGATGGGGTAAGGAAAAAAGGAAAAGGGACTGTCTCCACCAAGGTTGAGCTGCTGAGATTCTGCAGCTAAAAAGAACTTAAACCCATCCAGATCCAGGGCAGGGAAACCTTCCCCAACCCAGGTGAGCCCCACTCAGCCTTATTTGGGCCTTTGAAAGATTTCCTGCAGCTCTCAGGAGATAAAATTGGTTCTTGAAAACCCCAAAGCAGCTGCAAAGTGCTTCAAGGTTGTTGGATTAAGCCTTTTTTTGACCCAGAGATGGGGTGGTTTTGTGGTGAGGCAATTCAGATGTTTTAATTATTTAAAAAATTATATATATAATATATAATATATAATATATAATATATAATATATAATATATAATATATAATACATAATACATAATACATAATATATAATAATAACAACATTTGGGTGATTTGTGGGCAGAACAATACAGATGTTATACAAAATATAATATATTACTATAGATTATAATATCTGTATTGTCCCACCCACAAAACCACCCCATATATATATCTATATAATTATATATATAAAATAATATATAAAACATAATATACTACTATAGATTATATTATTTTATATATATAATTACATAGATATATATACGGGGTGGTTGTGTGAATGGGACAATACAGATGTTATAATTTACACTATTCCAATAAAAAAATGAACATTTCTTAATTACAATGTATTATAAGTATTTCTTAGCCTATCAGCTTTTACTACACCATACTGTAAATGCTTTAAAGCTAAATATCTAAAGTTACTTCTCATAGATCTTAACTTGAGTGGTGAGCACTTCCCACACTGTCCAAGGTGTGAATGCACCATCAGTTATTCCTAATCCTGGCTTGCCTGGATTATTCCTGATAATTCCTAATATTCAACATATTTTGACAATATCTGCTCAGTAGTGGTAAAACATTTCTGAAGTCAAATTTCCTACCAATTCCCACCTGAATTAAGCAAAAAAAAAAAAAAAGAAGAGAGATTTCCTTGAGCTTCCCCATGGATGCTCTCCCTCTGCTCATTCTCTACTTGACCAATTGACTCGAATATTTTCCAACTATTTCCCAATATTTTTTCTTCTCTTCCCTCATTTCCTGCTTAGATGCCAAACACTTTCCTACTGCATGCACTCAGGGTGGATTTTCAGCTCTCAACAGCCCTTCTGTGTCTCAGAGCAGCTCTAAAACACTCATAGAGAACCAGAATATTTTCTGGCCTGGCTTCCCTCCTGCCCTTGGCACATCCTTCTCCTTCAGGAGCTCTGGGAAGGCAATTTCCCTGCAGGGCAGCTCAGCAAACCTGGCATCAGGTGTAACCCCATGCCCAGCCTTCCCACTTCTTAAAAAAAAACCCATGTAGGGAAATCTGGAATCCTGGAAATGTGCAGGATAAAATCCTGCAAGTTGGATCTGGGGAGATGAGGCTTTTTCCTGTAAGTCCTGAAAAGATAATTTTGTTTTAAAAGGGAATTTTACAGGGAAATATTAGTAAAAAAAAAAAGCCTCTTTGAGCAACCTCATGTAGCAGACAAGAAATCTGTAGGGAAATCTGGAATCCTGGAAATGTGCAGGATAAAATCCTGCAAGTTGGATTTGGGGAGATGAGGCTTTTTCCTCTAAGTCCTGAAAAGATAATTTTGTTTTAAAAGGGAATTTTACAGGGAAATATTAGTAAAAAAAAAAAGCCTATTTGAGCAACCTCATGTAGCAGACAAGAAATATCTGAAGGACCCAAATCTGCTTCATAAAGAGCAGAATCAGTTCTAGGCGTGCTTGGGATTCAGTCCCAACAGAGATTTGGGAGCAAACAGGGATCAAAGTGATTCCTTCAGCAATTTCTGGATGGAACAAGGTCTTGGGGCTTTATTCCAGCTACCAGCAGTGTGGTCTGGTGCCCTGTCCCACCCCCTGGCTGCCCAGCCAACAGCCCCTAACCAGGATCCTGGTTGGGGTGAGGGAAATTCTTGTCCACACCTGAGCAGTGGGAAACCTCCTTCACTGCTGTGCTGTGATTTCCTATCCCTCAGGAATGGTGTCACTCTGTTTTTTTAAGATTTTCTAAGTCTTCTGGTGTTGACATTCTTAGAGTGAATTTTCTCACACACTTTCTGTAAATAACTCATTGTTTTACATTCCTTTATAGAAGAAGAGAGAGTTAATGGACTGTTAGTTTGACCAGTGACATTGCAGAGGTGTCAATGTCACCTTCCAATCCACTGTCACTTTTGTAAAACTATAAATATTGGAGTCAGAGAATAAAACTTCCCTTTTTTCCCTTCACCTTGAGTAGTAGTGTGCTTGTGTTCTCTCGTGTCTTTCAGCGACAGAATGGGATATGGGAAATGGGAGAAATGGGAAATGGGAGAAATGGGAAATGAGAGAAATGGGAAATGGGAGAAATGGGAAATGGGAGAAATGGGAAATGGCCACAGCCATGTCCAGGTTTTAGGAACAGCAGGATGAGTTCAAGCAGCTCAGCAGAGCAAAGATATTTCATCCTGCAGGATGGACCTGTGGAGCTACACCTCAGATCTTGCTAACCTGAGTGCAGCCAAACACCCTAATAACCACTGCAGCTCCCTCAGCTTCTACTGCAGAAAGATTGGTGAGAAAAAACCCCAAAATCAATGATCTATGGAGGAAATTCTGATTCTGACCAGAGCAGGAATCAGGAGCTGCCCTGCACACACCACCTGCACATGAATCCACTGAGGAAAAGCCTCTCTCGGGACCGAACAGGCTGAACTCTGTGCCAACAGAAGGAAAGCCAGGCAGGAGGTGCCAGGCTGAGGCTGAGGCAGCTGTGCCCTCCCCAGGTACCTGTTGAGTGCCATGGTGACAGTGGCTCCCTGCTGCATCTCCTGCGACGCCGCCACCGCCGCCTCGGCCAGCGATGCCACCGCCTGCGTGGCCTCCGAGGCCTGCGTCGTCTGGATGGTCATCTCCCCTCCCTGCAGCGTGGCCCAGTTCTGCTCCACCTGCAGGGACACAGCACGGCCTGTGGGATCAGGAGCACCCCTCCAGGGGTGGCTGATTCCCCAAAATATAAATGGATTGGTGTACACAGAGTCCTGAGGTGTCCGGCTCTGAGAGCGGGGAAAGGGAGGGAGGCTGGGATGGGGCTGGACACTGCAGCTCTGCACCAGCCATGAGGCTCACAGGGCATAAAGATCCAGAAAGGTCCTCAAAACACCCAGAAATCACAGAATTCACAGAATCCCTGGGTTGGGAGAGACCTTCAAGAGTCCAGCGCAGCCCTTGGCACCCAGTGCCACCTCCAGGCTGGTCAAACACACCCAGGGATGG